ATATACGGTCGATGTTGAACTATTGAAAGCAACGCCAATGCCCTAATACGTGGGAGGGATTATGTTTTGGTCGTCATTATCGGCCTCACTATCAGTATATTGCGAAAGGCAAAACAGCGGTTGCTGTTTCAATATTCATCTCATTTTGTTGGTATTTAGAATTTGTTTTTGTTGGGCGGTTAAAATCAGTAACACAGCTCTATACCTAACTGTCATGCCTCACTCATAACATTTGCAAACGCTTGAATTTTTATTGGATGGAAAAATTTGTATTGAGCTTGATTGAAGGTTTCAAACGGAAAACGTCGGTCAAAATCAACAGAGCCTTGGTGGCCACGTAAATTGTTTGATCATTATGAGGGAGTGTTGGATATTGCGGGCAAAGCAATGCGAATGGTTGCGTCGTCATTTGAGTCCAACAATTTCTCTCAAGATGAAATACCCCGTGTCAACAACATACCTATGAAAGTTATTCGGGTGAACTAGTTTACTATACATTCCTCATTTCTTCAATTCCCATACTTTTCAAATCTCCATTTTTAGATGCTGTTTCAAATCAGTCTTCTCTTGCAGTTTTTTTTCTGAAGGTACCATCCAATGATTCATTTATCGAAAGAGTTGAAAATAATGAAAATGAAATTTTGATCAACACTGGAGTGTCTGAAATAATTATTTGACGGTTTTACAAGTTTGACTGAAGTAACCGTAGTGATTGATCTGTTTTATACGGTCGTTACAGAGATTATCATCAATTGTAATGGGTTGATCTCATTTGTTCATTTGTAGTGAATAGATTTTCATTTTTTGTTGCCCGCATATGGTGTGATAGTACAATAGCAACGCTAAGATGATTTCAGCTGGATGGTGATGAGGCAGCGGCAGTGGCTTACTTCCGTCCCAGCTCACCAGCAACCGTTTGCGATCCTAACGACGACTATCAGAATGATGTGATAGCCCGTGAATTGCGTCACACGACTACGATTGATGTAAGAAATTCGTTCTGCTTATCGAATCAGTTGAAGAGATAATTGTTGATTACTTTAATAACTAACAATTAGCTAACTCTTTACAGATTGACCGTAATATTTTATTCTATTTATTTAACTGTTATTTGGAACATGTTGATAATCTTCACCTAAATCATCTCGTTTTTCATTATTCACGTTGACTTCAAATCGGGATTGAAGTAGAACAGAATCTATTTAAAAGCTATCGTAAATCGCATCTTTAGAGCAGATCAGCTGATAGAAACTGTGCTGATGCAGAATATGTAATCGGCAGATTCTTTAATGCTCGCAGTTTTTCAAAATTTTTTTATATTCACAACTCGGTTCCTAGTTAAACTTTTTTCAACGTATAATTTAAGGTTTGAGAAATCATTCGAACTGTATTTTAGGCTGGTGTCTTCAGTCAGATAGAGCTGGGCGATGACGACAGCCAGACAAACTATTTAAGGTGGAAGAAAGTGTTAAGGATGTCGAATATGAAGAAGTCCACTAAAGTGATAAATGATTCATCAAGATGTTCGACTGGGAATAGTATGAAGAGATGCACTTCAAATGGGGTCAGATTAGCATGTGAAGCATCTTTAACTGATATGCATTCATCGACTGCTGATAGTAAAAAGGATGATGATGACGATACAGCTAGCAATTTCGATTATAGTCATGAAGTATTGATGGATGCAACTACTAATCATCACCACTTAAAGCCGTCTTCGAATATGTCCACATCGGAATTTCTTCGCAACAACAGCAGCACAATTGAATCGGGTTATTGTTCATCAGCGATCTCTTCAAATTCATTACCTCCCTGTTCAGCAAATTCGAATACTCCTCAAATACCATCAACTTTTGATTCATTTTCCCCACAGCCACAACATGTCTTAGTGATAAATCAGTCCATTGCTGATATTGCAAATGAAAATGGGACCAGAAATGGAACGCTACAATTACCACCTCTTTCAACTGTATTCGATGCCTCTTCCTCAGATCAACATCCACTTTCGAAGAATGATCCTCATCAACAGTTACCGAGTCGATACGAATCCCAACTCCAGTCTCAATCTGTTGTCAACAATCTTTGTTCTTCTGCAGCGCCAAAATCTATCGATATAGGCAATTACAATCATCAGTCAGCTTCTATCTCATCATCGACGCTGCATCTTCATTCCGAAGCAAATGGCTCGTTTGACATGAGTTATCATCCATTTGAACACATCATCAATCAAGCTAATTTCAAGGTTCATTCCCTCTCAAAGACTACACTCGATGATCGCGCGGAAGCGAATTTCTTCGATACCTTATTCGAGGAAGATGAAACCAAAATGGCTGACGCAGGAGGGGATCCCTTTCTTAGGATGGACCATCTTATTTGATATGAAAACGGATCGTTGTGTAAAAATCTGTATATTTATTTTTGCATGTTCTGAAGGTGTATGGCCTTATTCTACTTTTCAAACGTTGATAATTCAACAATTCATCAATTTAGTGTACAAATCACATTCAAAACATACAATTGAACAAACACGCTGTGATTCAAACCAGTTATCGTTCGGTTCATAGTTATGTGAATATACCACTTCCGATTAATGTGTGCTTTCCGTTTCGAGTCCTTTGTATTACCTTATGTAATTTATTGTCACTAGTGATAAATCTCTTTATTGTTGCGAATTGTGTCTGATTCATTCAGATGCTTCTAGATTATGTGATGGCTAAGCATTATAAAGCCGTGTGGTTGTTATCGGTGTTAACTGTAGCTCACTAGAAGCGTTTGGTAACTCTAGGTCTTGAATAGCTTATGTGTTGCGGTTCGTTGAACGATGAGTGTTTGGGGTTACTGACGATTCTTTGAATTTCCTCTGTTGTGTAGAATCATGCTCCACTCAACACTTGTTTCAATTTGGGGAATATGGTGAAGGCAGTGATATCAGATTTAAAAGTATGGAGGCCTGGAAAGAACAGCTGCTTAATTTTATGCAAAATTTGTGAACTGAAAAGATGAAATGAAACTGGACATTATCGTGATGAAGTAACCATTTGGCGCCAAAGTTCAAACCTTCTTTTTCTTAGTATCTCACTCAAACGTTTTGAATCATCAATTTAGTACGGACGGCTAATTATTCTTGCCCTCTGCGAAACATTTTGAACGTAACGTAGCTTGCCCTCTACGAAATTCGATAAAAAATAATCGTCATAACATTGACGTCGTAATTTGTGGTTGAACGCCATCGTCGTTGATGTTACTGTCACTCATCAAATGGACAAAGTGTTCATAACGAAAAAAAAATCGCGAAACGTTAAAAAACTGCAACACACGAACCGGAAGTGTAGTACTGTCTAGAAATTTGGAGATAATTCAGCTCATCATCGCCTTATTACTACCAGCTACTGTCGAGGAGCAAGTTTTTGGTCAGGAGGAGGGGGGGGAGACCTCATCGGAAAGCGAAGTGGATAAGAGGGGGCCGTGAGAAAAAATGGGGGAGCAAATTATCTAGGGAATTCCTGTGGGTAGGCATTGTCCGAGAGGGGATCACGACCAAATGTCAGGAAGCGAAATTGTCGGGGAATGGGATCACCGTCGGGAACCTCTTTTTCCGATAAACATTACCAATCAAATAAATACATCTTCATAACGCTTTGCTGGCACACAATCGGAAAACTTCGGTTTCCACGTGTGTGTGACCGACCTTGTTTAAATATGTATATTTCTTCTTTTTGATTCATTAAGCAATTATAAAATGCTTTAGTTTGTATCAATCACTGAAGCATCAGGTTTTCGTTATTCTAAGAAACTTTAGCAGCTTTGTTCTAGTTACATTTTGTTGACAACTGTTTTGTGTTCGGTTTTTGTTTATCTTATTACCGCAGTTTATATGACATTTTGTTATTCATTGAATGAGTATTATGTACACCTATCACTGAGACGATATCGCTATACGAAGAGGTTATTGTGTAATATTCCGTATTTCGCTTTTCTTGAGTTTTATTGGTGAAAGTTGATGAATAAAATGATACGTGATCTTTGGCACTACATGTTCAATGAAAAAATTTGATGCTTTAGCACTGAACGTTTCGCTGCAAAAATGTTTCGGTGTAGTTGATTAACGTGATTATTTTTCTTGAAAATGAGATGTTGTTTGAGGTACTCTAAAACATCCAGTTCTCTTTCTTCTCGTCTAGGCTCTTGGGGCTCCAGTGAGATGTCGCGCGGCTTAGGCAAGTAAGAACTAATCTGAAACGCCCGGTCCCTTCGACTCTGAAGTACCGAAAATGACTGGAACCAACGCTTCTTGCACCAATTCGTTGCACTTATCAGCAGAAAGAGATCCTTTGTTCATCGTGACCCATATCGGAGGATTTCTCACATCAGTCAGTGTTTCATTAAGTGTATCTGTTCGTTGCTAATCTTAGGGCTAGTTGGTATGCGATGTTCGAGGAGTTTCATGCCGAAGATTGTCGAGCAGTTTGGTATCATTCAAATTTGAAAATCGGGTAAGCCTGAATTCGTTATTAGAATCTGAAGTTAATGTATTCATTTACTAGTAATCACTCGATTGCTGCTGCGAAACGCATTCTGAAACGATATCATCACGACGTTTTCTCGCCTCTGAGATTCTATTGAGCGCAGCGGAAAAAAATTCAATTAAATGGAACTGAAGATTGAAATCATGTCGACAAGATGTGTAATGAAAATATCAGATTGTAACTGGAACATCATCAGTTATGAAACTCGTTAACTATCCTCTACTAAGTTCACCTTATTTTGTTGAATTGATTCCCTGAGTTTCTAATCAAGGATGTACCTCTCTTCAAAGAGATTTCGCTGAGATGGAGATTCTTTTCAAAGAAATAAGATTGGTTATGACATAATAGTTGGCTGTTGATGCAATTTCACGCTCACTTTCACAAAATTGATTGCGTTTTATGGAGTGGATGTGTTTGACATCTGTCTATAATGAGTGTATATGAAACGTTATTTGACAACTCATCATCTTCTCACAAGCATAATTTCAAATTGACTGTGTCTTAGTCGCTTATGAAAATCGCTGCTTCAAATGCTGAACACATACCATTTTTCGAGCAGGTTAGCGTTACTTCTGCTCGAATTTATCGCTATTTTCTTCATTTATAAGTGAGGCACATTGCCGGTGATTGACGTTGTAATACTCGTTCGGAAGGAATATATTTCATACTTTGTTCCTTCGTTATTCAATGTAGGATTGTTGTCCTACACTGATAGTGAGTAACGATCAGTATCAAGAATGTGCGTTTACGATTTGTAGTGGACAAGTAGCATCGATATTATATAAACAAGATGATACTNGGAATATGGCTCATTGGCTCAATTATTGAGAAGGGAATTCAAATTCATTATGGGGATAGAGCTTAATAAAAGTTGCATCCATTGCAGCAATGTATTCCTTGTTTTATTGCTTCTGAACATCTGAATCGCCATCATAGAAGAGTGATTAGTCAGTAATAATGATGAAATATGTCACTTCAATTGCAGAACATACACAATACAGCGATGATTCACGTGCCAAATGATACGAAGAACGCGTTCAACTTTTTCGATAGTGACGATTTCAGTGGTAAACGAAAATACTCCATTAGAAAATTTTTCGCAAATTTCAACGAGTTGAATCTGATTAATTAAAAGCTGTTTCAATTTGGTTCAGGGTGCTATCAGAATCAAAGTGATTCGTTCACATGGAATGAGGATCGAAGAGCGGCCAACGTTCGTGAACGGAAGCGGATGTGCAGCATAAATGTTGCCTTTGCAGTAATTTCATTATTATGATCGATTTCATAATTATTTTTATTGCTATTTTCTTATTGTGATCATCATTGTTATTGCTAATTTTTCTGAGTTCATTACACATGTGCGTAATGGATACTGTAATTGAAAATTCTTTTATATTGTAGCGTTTTGAGTTATTATTTTGGTTAAGGTGTGCTCAGTTTGTCGAGATGCTACGAATAAAAATAAAATACCGAAATAAATAATTTGCAGAAATTACGACGCTACATACCAACTTTCCCGTACGAAAAGAGACTCTCAAAAATTGACACTTTGAATTTGGCAATTGCATATATTTCCTTACTCGAAGATATGCTCAACAATCATGCCGAGGGATCGTATTATTACTTGAAAAAAGCAGTTAACATGGCACGTTCCGGTGACCCGAATGCACCTCTCTGGACAACTAGTGGTATTTGTGTTGTTATTATTGTTCAAATCGCTACTTTGCAAAATTATACATTAGTTTTCTTGTCACGTTGTTTTTGGTGTTATTTACAATTGGGGCACCGATTTTATGTGGAAATATTTTCTTTTCATTACTTTTTTTCTCATTCAGTAAGCTGAATAGAAATTTATTAGCACATTCAATTAAGAATATGGCTAGAACAAATACTTTAGTACAGAATTATACGGTGTGGTAGTAATCAGAAATTTTTATCGAAAGACTCCGTATGAATGGAAGAAAAAGACGTTTACTATAACTGAGATAGTTTGTTTCTTTCTATATCATATTACAATATCAATCCATTACCGTTCGTTGCAATCAATGCTGAAGAAACTTCTGGATTGACGTCAAAAGATATCGTTTATTAAATGGACAATAATGCGAAATGAATATCATTTTGTTTAGATCTAATCGCACGTTTGAGCTGGATTAATTGGCGTCAATTGGCCATCAAACCAATTACATGATAAAAGATTGTGATGTGAACATCATATGATCAGATAAAATTTATTACGCATATCGCTTTACACAGTACCAAGTATATTCATATTAGCTGATAGTAGTATATACAAGTTTAAGATAGGAATGTTGTTAAGAAAAATTAACGAATGTTCGAAGATCGAAAATTTCATCAAGAAAACTCAAAGTTTCCGACTTAAAACACTCGAAATCATTAATAAATGGTCGTTATTCGATTGAATCTTTGTTAGAGAATAATAACAGAAAAAATCGATTCAAAGTTTTTGTCACTTAAAAAGTTATCAGTTCAAAATGTCCGATATTCGTATGAAATAAGATGCTAAGGGTTTTAAATTTCGATGTTCTTGATAACTTCAAACTATAATTCTATACATCCTTTCCAATATCTAATGATTATGCTTATACGATATATTAAACATATAACGCTTAATAGGATCAAAATTAGGCGTATGCGTGTGTGGAAGAATAAAATTCTGGAAACGCCGAACCCTCCCCACGAAAAGATAATCTTATCTCGAAACAACCTATGCGTGTTTTCGAAAACTCAATTTGTTTTTCTCCCTAAAGTACCATTGTGGGCGAATTTTGAGAGTTTATTGGTCTCATCTTTCTAAATGGTGCACTTTTGACTTGAAACAACCTATGTGAAAGTCCGTCGGAATAAAAAAGGTTGAAAGATGGAGTCATATATTCACCCGTTTAAGTGTCTCTAACACGAAATAATTTAACCCAGCAACCATTCAGACTGAATTGTTTAAACGAAAGTTCCACATAGTTATTCCCATGTCAAAAAGCATTTTGTTGAGGTCTGAGACTTAGGAAATTACGAAAATCGAAAATCGCGCACTGCTTCGCCTTTCAGGTGAACGAGAGTTTCACTCAGTTTTTCACACAAATTGTTTTCAAACTGAAAGCACCATTTTGAGAGGTGGTACCTTGAAATTTCCGAAATTCAAAAAAACTGTCACCCTAATAGATACAATCAATGTTTATGATGTCATGAAGGTCGTGATTTTCCTCCGAACACCTGTTCAACACCCGTTAAAATAGCATTCAAACTGAACGGATCATCCGGATTGGTGCAACGAGTCCCAATCAACGAATCCTTAAAAAGTGACTGCATCAGATGATTATATTAAATGAAGAAGCGATCTGTTCTGTGTACTGACTGCAAGAGCCGTGCACGATTACGATTACGATTTCAGTTTTATTTCAGACTAAGCGTTCCAAAACTGGTCATCTTTGGCGACAACCAGTCAACTTAGGTTTTCAGCTACTCAAACTGGAACGTGAACATTGCGAACTCAACTTAAAAATGCAACTGTCAGCATAGTTTAGAAAGTTGATCCTTAAACATGCAGAAGAATAATTATTGTACAAGATGACAAAGATAGTGATACCAATAAAATTGATAGTGACAATATCAATGAACCTGTTTGTAGCCACACAGGCATCGACAACTACCAAATCGACATTCAGAAAAATTAGGGCACTGTCTATTTGTAACACACTGCTGTCCTAGTTGAACGTGACGAAGACATTTGTCAGTAACAGCGACTTCGTCGATTGGGCATGTCTTTTGACATGTTGCGAAACGGTCATCGTTACTCTCAAATTATTTTTATTCTTTTGTTACTGTTACCATTATTGCAAACAATATTATCGTTACCAATGTTGTTGTCATTATTATAATTTTAGTTCAACTCAACGATGCTTAGTTAAAGTTTTTTGGAATGCATCGCGAAAATTCGATAGGAAAATTCAAAAATGCATTCAACTTAAATCACACGAATGAATTAATAATTTTTTCTAGTAAAAGTTGTCTTTATGCCATTTCGATGAAATGAATGAGTTTTGAAAGCATATAAAATACCGCATGAAAACCAAGCTTGCATTGACATGTGCCCAGAACACAACTCATCTTCACACCTCCTTCGCACTGAAAAAACTCGTTTTGAAAACATCTGTTGCAACTGTGATAGGGAAAGAAAATGCTTTAAAATGGTTGATAGCAACAAAATAAACTCTAACAGAAATCGATGCATTGTTTAATAGTTTTGAATTCAAATTTTATGAATACAAAAATAGTTTTTGAATACAGAAGCAGCCAAATCAACATTACGGAATATTTCCGAACAAAACTTCTTCGAGAAAGCATGAAATTCAATTTGCATACACTTTTCAACTCAAGTTGCTGGTGTGCGGTTGCATAATCCTTTCATCATGCACTAGATATGATAAGGAAAAAACCTGATCAGAAAGCGTCATTAACAGCTGATATCATATAAACTGATGCACCTGTTGATCAATTTGACAAGGATCATCTCGATGCGCTATACTCAGACACTGATTGTTTATAAAGAGTGGTGTTGGCTCTCTGCATGGTTTCGGACAGCACAAGCTCGATTTCCAACCAGGCTCTGTAACCGTATAACAGTGATGTGTCAACGGCCGACAACGTTCATCTTCTGGCGCTCCCCTATCACACGACTGCCTGCACATGACAATAACTCAGCAGTTCTATATTAGTTTACATCAGATTTGTTAGTCTTTTTAAAGACAAACTTGCATTCTAATTATTACTTTATATAATCGTTTCTTTCTTTCGAATGGACTGATCATTATGCCGCAGTGCACTGATCAGTCACTTCAAAAAATCGAGGCTTGTTTAGGTTCATATTTGATTTGTGACTGAGACTTGTTTGTGCCCGCATTCAAGAGCACTAACGCTTTTAGCAGTAATGCTTTTGAGTAAGCAACCGGGAAACAACAATCACTTAATTTCTTTCGCAATTTCAACGATCCTTCTCAAAAGTTATAACTGCATCTCTATTTGCGTGCATCAACTGAGCGTTTATGTGCCTGATGAATAAACATGTAGTATAGATAACGTTAGTTTGTAATATATTAACCCTTGCACGACTGAAACTTTTTATTAGCATCGGAGACGAAGCAAGCCTCTCAAGCCCGGCTCAATTTCTCGTAATCGATAGAGTCGGGACTTTCTCTTAATGCAAGACTTTTTAATGAAATTTTAACACGTGCTCATACCTGTAAATGTTATGACATAGGTAAAAATGAAAATAAACGAAAATTCATTTCCTTACGAACCAGCTAAGGGTAAACACCGGAATCAAGTACTCGCAAATCTGCATGAGTCCTTGATTCTTACCGTGTGATTTTTGCACTGTGTTCTTCGTGTAATTATATCTGTTAAAATGTCCTCAGGTAATGAAATTGTTGAATATTTATAGGGAAACAGCAATAAAGATGATATCGATGTGGGCAATTATTATGACTTCTCATCAGATGATGACGATGAAAGTCTATCTGATCTAGGTGAACATATTGATTATGGGTTCCGTAAAAATATATTTCAAGATATGCTACACTTACAAAATAAGAAACATGGCTCGCGCAAATCATGCGTTCACATTGTTTTCGGAGAAGAGCATATAATGTAATCGAGGAAAAAAATGAGACGGACAATTTTTGCAGATCGCAATGTTGTCACCGTTGTATGGGCTGTTTTATTGCTGTTTCGGCAAAATATTGTTGAAGAAATTTCAAAATGAACGAATGAAGAAAAAGTGAAGGGTGACTGGGCGACAGTGAATGCTATTTAAATCAAGAAGTTCATTTGAACCCATATTTTCACTGGTGTTTGTAAGTTGAACGTAAATTACTCTTACAACTTTAAAGTGCAAGCGATAGTCGATTCATTTTCAACAAACTATTCTCGTGAAAACGCTTAAAAATCATCATTCTCACGTATTGATTCGTTTTCTCAGAAAACATATTCTTAACCCTATCATTTTGAGGTAGATATATGTGGAAATAATTAGCTGACTAAGGCCTCCTTGGTGATTTCATTTACAAATACGAAACGAAATAGGTGTTCCATATATCCACTGAAAAATGACAGGAGATAGAAGATAGAATGTTTTGTTCTCAAAAAATGTATGTAATGAGCAAAGTATCGTAATGCTTCAAAAATGCACATCATAATTCTCGCTGAATGTTCAAATGACGTTTGAAATCTTCACTGATAAATTTGTTTTCGATTTTCTAATTATAATAATGATGCTTTTGTCAGTGTATTTCACATTGCTTCGTCTCTTTTCATTCCTATTGTCCAATTATGAATGGGTTGAAAGACCAAATTCATTTTCACATTTCGCACTACAATAGTAACTTGAGCCATGAAATTTTCATGATAAATTGTGCCCGTTGCTGTTTTGTCATGTTGACAATGTTCTCTTTTTGATTTCCATTGTTTTTATGTCCTTTTAATTCTTTTGATCTTGTTTCCAACTCACTTTGCAGCTCTATGTAAATAATGATAATGAAATCATATATCGCAATTCATGCTGCAATAGTCAGCTGATTTGCACATTTGAATAAAGTTCACTGATCTAATAAATCTTTGAAAAGATCAAAACAAGCCGAAATACCTGGAAAGTAACAATTANGAAAAGATCAAAACAAGCCAAAATACCTGGAAAGTAACAATTATTACTGTTTAATAGGCTCGAAATAACGATACAGTTGTACTCAGGCCTGAGAGGATCGGTTTATCTCCGATGCTACAAAACAGTGTTGGGCGCGTTATCGAAAAACCATAGCGCGCTTTCGCTATTCAGTTATCGAAAAAAAAAGTCCGTTATTCTTCTATCGCTACCGCTATTATCCCTAGGGTTGATGGCGGAGCGCTGTCGCTATTGCCTACTCTGAAAACCTCATTACGCCACTAAATGATTGAAAAATTTCATTGATGAACAAGCATTTTTGAAATAAATATGAAAAACATTATAAAAATAGAATCCACTTCCACATCTGAACCAACCACCACAGAATCAACCTCTACACCTGCACCGACAATTACAGATGCTTTTTTCATCGAATTCAGTGCACTGTTGCAGCACAAATATGTATTTAGATACCTCGATGATTATGCATTATATACATTCACTTACAGACGAATTGATAGCGGATCTAGTCCGCCATCGAAGACGATACCGCTGTTACCGCTATCGCTACTGCGCTATCCACTCAAATTTCGCTATCACTATTCCGCTAAAAGCGGTGTAGCGCACAAATTTGTGCGCTAATAGCACACAAAATATTCTAAGTCGCGCGCCTGATCCGGAAAACAATCTTTCCTCTTCTTCTAGCTGTGGTCATGGAAATGAATCAAGCTACAAAATTTCAAGTCCGTGGCTGCAATATTCATGAAGTTATAGAAAACCGAAAGCTGGCGCCGAGTCTCTCACGATCAGGCTCGTTCGCCGTGCGGTGGTTAATATTGCATCAGCTTCATACAAGCTGATCAGTTATGTTACGCTTATCGTTCTCAATTAGCGAATAATTTGTAGGATGAAACACTGATAGACCTTAACATATATACATGCATAGAGAAGTGATTTATCCAAATTCTTATTAGAAAATCAAAAATGTAAACATTTGCGTAGATTCAGTTCTTCGATATCATTCCAAATTTTGGCTTTGAAAGTGAGTTTTGAAACGTTCAGATGGGGGAATATGCAGACTACCTATGTTGATCTAATAACGCTCATAAATAGGAATCACCAATCTAAACTTAGGATTTGATCGATTCTTGATAATGGCGGTGGTAATAATAATAATTAATAACAGTAACAATAAATAACAATCGATTCTTGATAATGAAAGTAGTAGTAATAATTAATAATAATAATAACAATAATAATAATAAATAATAATCATAATAATTAATAATAAAATTATTAGTACTATTATTATGCTAATAATTAATAACGATACTAACAGTAATAAAGGGATCGTAATATATAGAAAAAGATCTTACGTTAAATCAGGTTCACCATAAGGACATCTCAAACGGCAGCAATGCCCAACATATGGACTACCGTAAGTGACACAACGATAACCTAGTGGACAACTATCAGTTGAAGCTGCATTTTCGAGCATATCAATATCGTTTATGAACAAACGACGACAGCTTTGACGTGCTTTCGTACCGTCTGGGCATACTGAAATCAAACTGATTGCTTTTTTAATTAGAATCCGACTCAGCAACTACTGATATTCTATCATGTATGTATGCATTGCGATCCCCCAACAAGAAACAATAGAAAGGATTGAAAAGCATGCGAAAGATCATACTCAAATTTGATCGTTTATCAACAGTGAAACTGAACACAAACAAAGAATCACACTTGGAAGCTAATTACACTTCAGAACAGTGGTTTTCACATCTTCGAATCCTTTTCACTATGTGGCAAACCGCCATTCACTAATCTTCCAAAAATCTGTTGCTTTTAATCGATACATCGGGAATAATATAAAAAAATGATTCAATAATCAAGACGTTTGCTGGCTAAAATTCGTAGGTGGCATCGAATAAACCACCTACTTTGCTGGCTAAAATTGTGACCAAACAAGTCTTTTCAAAACATTACTAACCAATTACGGAAAACAACGAAAATATCAATCAAAATCAATTTGCTTAACTTCTTCAAAAAAAAAACCACAAAATGATTAAATCTCGGAAGAATGCATGAATTCAGAAATGATCACACTCAAAAAATAGGGACAACAGGGGTGAAATGCGTAAGCGTTCCCGATGACAAATAACTTAGAAAGCAAACTGATTTCTAGCAGATTCAGTTGAACTTACCATATATTCAAGACGAAACTTCTACACAAGATTATGAACGATCAATCATCTACACATAAATTCTTCCCCGGGAAAAGGAGATATGCAATTCCAGTCGACCAAATATAAAGAAAAAAGACAAGAAAAAAACAAAAGTCATAAAAAGCACATAGGTGACAAAAAGGAATGACAATGAATATAGGTTGAATTAATCTCACGCAGGATTCGATTGGATGAATTAAGGCGAAATGACATACACTATTGGAATGTGATTTTACGATAGATTATACTTGTAAAGAGAGCGGATGTAAAATGAAAGAAGATACCCGCGAAGCACATTTGTTTCATGATATCTCTTGATGTTCCGGGTGAACATTGACATATTCCAGCAATGCACGCATTGAAAACATCTATACATTGACTATCTTTGTCGCATGCTTGTCCCCAATGTGCAACCCGCTGACATTCAACTCCATACAACTGCTGTCCACTCGGGCATGCTACAAAAGCAATTTGATGCTTGTCAGCTGTGTGATAAAATTAAAGCAATATCTTATCCATCGTTCAGATCTGCACAAAGTTTCCTATGTTATTAGAACTCAAGCTAGCATCTCGTCACTTTCTGAATGTAGCAGAAAGTTTGGTCGAGAAACTTCACAAGGAACTCAGAAAGAGCAGAATTTTTTGGGGTCGAATTCCGTTCGAG